GGGCCTCCGGGGCGTGGCTTAGGGAGAACGCGGGGCAGAGTAACACGAAGGTGGGGGTGTTAGAGAGGGGGGATGGTTGAGCCCAGTAAGTCTGCACCATGGAAAGTTCTAGTATGAGTTAAGCTTACCTAGGACCTTCACCCTCCCCTCCTCCTCACTGTCGGGGGGAGGTGGGGGTTGGCGCAGTTTTGAATGTTGGAAGGGAGAGAACTGGCAGTTTTGAAAGTGGTATATACTAATAAAATGGAACAATCCAAGTCAAAAATTGAGAGATGTCACCTAAGCTCTTGGTGGTATTTATTAAACTCCAACTGACAGAAGGCTTCCTATGCGCCAAGCACTGTGCAAGGAGCTCCAGCTCTCACAGAGTGCCAGGCCCGTGGAATCGTGCCCAACGAGGAGCATTTATTAGCCCTGTTTACAAAGCCCAGCTTCCACCTCTGCACTTACTGGGCACCATGCTGAGTGTATCACCCCTACTTTACAGATGAGAAAAACCAAGGCACAGAGTGGCTGAGAAACATGCTTGATGTCACAAAGCCAGTGAGTGTTGGGGCTGAGATAACTTTGTTTACACTTGGTCACCCAAGTTACCTTCCATCTGAATTAAGCCGTCAAAGAGAGGCTTTTATTTTGTTATTTCTCTAAGAAACTTGCCCCAGGGATCTTGTTAACATGCAGATTCTGATTCTCTACGTTGGGGAAGAAGCCTCAGGGTCTGCATTTCTGACAAGCGATGCCCTTTTTGCCTGGTAGGATGTGTAACAATCTGGATTGTGAAGATTGAGGGGTAAGTGTGATGAAATGGGAAAAGTGTTAGATGGCATGGTAAGGCCTGGGATCAGGTCCGGGCCCTCGCATGTCTCTGTCCTCTTGTGCTTGTCAGTTCACCTCTCTGGGCCTCAGGTTCCTCATTGGTAACATGGGAGGATTGAAGGAGATCTCTAAGCCTCTCTTTTGCTCTGATAGCCTGCACTGTATATGGAAATGGCATTGTCTTTAATGAGTCTTAGCTGAGGCAGAGCCCTTAAATTAGTTAGGATTTGAAAAGATAACAAAAGGATCTGCTTTTAAAAGTGAGATGAAAACAAAAAATTCCGTAGCCCAGCTGGTGTGGCTCAGCGGTTGAGCATTGCCCTATGATCCAGGAGATTGCAGTTTGAATCCCGGTCAGGGCACATGCCTGGGTTGCGGGCTCAATCCCCAGTAGGGGCCGTGCAGGAGGCAGTGGATCAGTGTCTTTCATCATTGGTGTTTCTATCTCTGTCTCCCTCTCCTTTCCTCTCTCTGAAATGAATAAAGATATATTTAAAAAAATTTGTGTAATAGAACATTTGGAAAATACTACAGAAAAGTAAAAAAGAAGGAAAAACAATCATCCATCTCTTACCCCAAAGACAACCTATGTTTGAACATTTTGGCCTATTTTCTTCCATTGCATTCCATGAAAACATTGGCTTACTTTATGCACATAATTTTGATCATATGGTAGATGTATTCTCTGGCTATTTTTAAATTTAACATTACAAAATAACTTTTACATGTTTCCATACATTTGTATTTAATGGTTGTATAATATTCCATTCTATGATAGTTCACAGCATATGTAACCTTACCTCTGTTGTTGGCTATCTAAGTTGTTTCTAATATTTTGCTATTAAATATAACTCTTCTCTTTAGGGTTTCCCCCTTAGATTCTCATATTTGGGCAAAGGATATGAAAAGTTTAAAACTTATGGAAAAGTTTTTAACAATAATAGTCTCTCTTTGCCAAGTGAAAATCGTCAGGAAAATTTATCTGTATAGGGACAAATTAATAGATATTACTACATGTGGGGAAAACACTCTTACTCCTCCACTAAAGGCAATAATAACAATAATTATCATTATAGCAAACCTGTGTTGTCTGCTCAGTAGATCCTAGGCACTGGGCAAAGTTTATCACCCTCATTTTACAAATAAAAATACTTGCTTGATGTCACAGTCACGAGTCAGCTGAGGAGGAGGTTTGAACCCAGTCAGTCTGATGCCAAACCCTGTGATGCTCTTAACCCAGGAAGGTATCTGAAGGTGGTTTTTACCACCTGCATCAGCATCATCTAACCAGGTTTTGACCAAGTCTCCTGAATTAGAATTGTAGTGGAGCTAGGAATCTGTCTTCTTAGCAGTTTCCCCAGGTAATTCTTATATGTATTGATTAAAACTTGTTTTGGTTTAAATTGTGAAATATTTCACACAACAGATTTTATAAAGCATATGCAGTTAAAAAATAATAAAAAAAACACCTGTGGACCCACCATGCAGGTTAACCTATTGGACATTGGGAGAGGAAGAGACAGGAGGGAGGACGGGCCTGGGTGGAAGTTGACTGGGAGGAGACCATGGGTGTCACCTGCTGCAGGGGTCGCTGACGAACTGTGGCTCCAGGAAGAGACAGCACAGAGCAAGAAGGGGCCTCCAGAACCAGGTGTGACAGCCAGGCATACCAGCGAGAAAGGGGTCATCTCAAGCGGCTGCTGTCACTCTGTCTGTGAAGACGCTGGTTCCAATTCAAAGGAAAACTTGCTCAGAAAAACACAACTAAGTGCGGACATACACACACCAAGGCCCCACGGAGTCCTGACTGTCAACATGCTCAGAGCCCTTCCTGGGCTTGCTTGAGAGGTGATGTCATTGCAGAGTGTACCTGGCTCCCTCGAGGGCCCAGCCTTATCTCTGTTTTTCAAGGCCTCCTGAACTGAAAGAGGAACAATCCGTTTCACTCAGGACAGGAGAGAACCATCTAGATGACTGCCTGACTTCTCCTGGCAGCCTCAGCCCCCTGGGGATTTCCCTGGGAACATCCTGAGGCTTATTTGTGAGACATCGAGGCACCATCAAGCTACCTGACCTTTCCAGTTACTTGGAAGATGGGTACCTACAAAGGCACCCATTTTAAAGGTACAGTTCGATAAGTTTTGGCCAATATGCACACCTGTCTGATCAGACTTAAAGTCTTCCAAAATGCATACTTTCTGTGGGTTTTGATCCTACGAGTTGAAAACATCACCTTGCAACGCTTTCCAATCAGTGAGCGAGATGACTGACAGCCACCAGGGAAGATCAGCATCTGCAGGCCGGACTGTAAGGGAAACCTTTGCACGGTTGGTGGATGGAGCTGGAAAGGGAGCCTGTGATTTGGTGATGCCCATTCTCCATTGGGACCCACGTATCTTTCTGAAGTGCCTAGAAAGTNCTGCAGGCCGGACTGTAAGGGAAACCTTTGCACGGTTGGTGGATGGAGCTAGAAAGGGAACCTGTGATTTAGTGATGTCCGTTCCCCATTGGGACCCACGTATCTTTCTGACCACGTATCNGGAGCTGGAAAGGGAGCCTGTGATTTGGTGATGCCCATTCTCCATTGGGACCCACGTATCTTTCTGAAGTGCCTAGAAAGTTGTCAAAACCATGAAACCAAGTATTAAGAGAAAATGAACTCAGAACCAGTCTTCTGAATTGCTGCGTCACAGAGTGTTAATCAAGATTTTAAAAAAGAATGAAGCACATTTAATCACATTACCACTC